GCTGCACTTTGGGGCTTGTTTTACAGGAAGGTGATACAGTCCATACACCACTAGGGACCTGAGGTTAAGTTTGTCATTTTTGGTCATAAAAGAAATGAACCCATCTGGACTTTTTTGGACATCACAAAACCCCCACATGATTTGGCACAATTGACCGTTTCTATGCAAAAGGCCTGGAATAGCAGGAAATTATGTGCATAATGATGGAGGGTCTTGGGCCTCTTGGCAGAAATGTTTTAGATGTCAGGACTTGATTTGCGGGGGGTGCTGCAGGGGAAAAGTAAGGGGTACTGGCAGAGCTGTGCAGGGCAGGAATAGCTGGGGGGGAGGCGGGCACTGTAGACAGTAGCATATGTGGACAGCCCATGACCAGAAAAACAGGACCTGAGTATGCATTACCTAGTTATGCTCTGCTGGGTTGTCTCCATTGCTGTCAGCACCTCTGTTTCATGAATGCTGTCTCCACACAGATGTTTAAATAAAAAAAAAAGCACTGAAAAGGTTTGCTGCTGACCTGAGGTCCCTCAGGTCCCTTCTCTTGCTTACTTGGCTTCCTCAGATGGAGTCAGTTCTTACAGTGGGTATGTAAGAGGCTCATTCACCGGCCTGATACTTCTTGTTGCAAGTAAACTCCAGGCAAGCTTCAGGCTCTGAAGAGCTTGTAATGGGCTCTTATTCTGGGAAGACCAAAAGGTTATGTTTGAATGGCCTTTTAATACATGGAGCATTTTTTCTTGAGTTTATCCTTCATCTCGATAATTAGAGACTAATATTTTAGGCACAAAACCATATTACTATGACATTTAGATGAGGGGTCAGCACTGTTTTTGGTCAGTGTGTTGAAAACACTTGCAACCTTGTCTTGTAAGATGCTGGTGTGCCAGGGGATAGTGGTGGGGCAGCTGTGAGGGGCCTTATCCTTGAGGCAGAGCAGCCTTGGCCCTTTCCCTGCTGTCTGTTCTAAGGCTCGTGTGCACCCACTGCCAGCAACAAACTGGACAAGGGCTCCACAGATCCCAGTGAAGCTGCTTGCAGCTTCCAGGCTGCCTGCCACAGCTAGCCTGGGCTCCCGGCATGCCCCTGCCACCCGCCAACCCTCCCTGCAGCTGGTAGGGAGGCTGCAAGCAGCTGCACCAGGGTCCATGCAGTCCGAGCTGGACTTGTTGGCAGTGGCGGGTGCATGCACACCTTGAAGAGGACAGTGGAGAAGGGGCAGGGGCTGTACTGCCACAACAAGCACTTGGCCCCGTGTGGCCCCCCTCCCACTATCCACCCCCAGGCACACGTCAGGCAATATGTCTTTGCATGCCACTCTCTGGCATGTGTGCTGGGGCTTGCCTATCTCTGATCTAGATACTTCCAACTGTTTTTTTTCATAGTCTTCACTATTTAGCTTTAACTTGAACATAATCTTTCTCTTTCTCTTCCATGTGGCGAGTAGTTATTCATCTGCCTTTGCACCAGAACAGATTTGAAATTAACATAGATCTATCTTAGATTATTGCTATTGCTGTTATCATTATTAACGTATTTCTACTGCTGTTGCTCCTACTATGTTAGGTGCCATACACGTGCAGTTCCTGCTACAAAGTGCTTGCAATCCAAATAGATTCAGTTTGTCAAGATGGGAGAAACCATTTGTCGTTTTAGCTATTTATGTGTATCATGCTAATCACAGGATGTGAGCACCTACTAAAAGATAACTGACTCTCAGTCCTACTCAAAGATGGAAGAGTCTTCTGTTTGGTTCACTCTCTCTTCTCTCTGTCAAAAGGTTTTTATGAGGGACAGGTGGAAGGAAATTTCCTTCTTTAACCATCTGTCTCCTTCCACATCTGTTATTAGTGCAGCTGCCCCTGATGACAGAGCAGTGCTAGCGTGACTGTGAATGGGTGGGTCACACCGTTCATCTCGAAGGCTGTGAGACTGAGTTATTGTGCAAGGCGGAGTTCTGTACCCATGGGACCCCTGCTGAGAAACCTCTGTCTCTTGCTCCCGTGCATCCTGGATGTTATACAGGCTGCTTCAGAGTTCCTAGTGAAAACTGTTATTATGGTAGAGAAATAAGCAGGTATTATGGTAGATGGCGATGGAAGAATAGTTCTCACCCATCTGCTCAGGGGACTTCAAGACCGTCCCAAGGTGGTACAGTGAGTCTTTGCCTCTAAAGATCCACACAAATTCTCTTCTCTGCCATCCCAATGAAACTCCATGGAGATCTCCAGAGGGGAACCAGATCTGTTTAAATCATGGGACTTTCAGGGTAATTGCTGATAGGCCTTTTTTTGGTTGATGCATTGCTGGAATTCTGTGTATTTGTGAGGACCCAGCCACACAATGGGGACCCATGAGGACACCCTCACTCTGACAGCAATGACAGAGGAGCGGTAAAAGGGCTGACTTCCCCAAGCAGCAGGGACTGTACTAAATCATCAGTTGGGGCTTACTGATGTAATCACCTAGAGGAGCACCTAAGAGAGAGAGAAGGAGGGCCTCCTTGCTGAGTGGATGGAGATAGCTCTGACACAGCTGAAGTCTCTTGACTTTCATGTCATGTGGCAAATGCTCTTAATACTCCAGCTTTCAGGAAGGGGGTAGCTTAGGGAAACTTAAGGAGCTACACAGATGGGATTTGTTTCACTTGGCAGCTCAAAGGGGTGATAAGCGTTTATGACTTGGTGTTCATTTAATTTGTGTGACTTGTCAGTATGCTACTGGAATGAGCGATACACTTTTTTATATAGCCAACTAAATATATATTAAAACAGATGCCTGGAAGCACCAGCTACATTTAAAGCTGGGAATATTTCTATATTTCTCTCCTGTGCATTTGCATGTTCATAACTTTTTCATAGCAGTCACCTTTGGTGCTGAAATTTTCCATGGTTGGGTTCTGCCCCAAGATGTGTTATAGTATGATTATTATTAGCAGGAGTTAAGTGTGAGGAAAATCCAATTTTTCCCCATTTTTCTCTTTTAGTTGTGGGAGAAAGAGTAAAAAAAACATGTTTCCTGTTGGGAAGCAATCAAACCAAAATCTCAGTGACCCTGAGGCCGGCTCCTGTGGTTAGGTTCTCCTGAAGTCAGTTCTGTTCCTACATATGGGGAGCTGTAAAGCTGGCTTTAGGTTATCTTTGGGCCAGTCTGATCCTCAGTCCTGAATTGCTTCTTGAAGTGACCATTCTGGCAGGTGGGGGGATTTCTGAGAAGCAACAGTGTTCAGACCATACCTCCTTCTTCTGCATCTCATACATGGCTCCTGAATGAGGAATGGTGCAGACGTGATACAACAAAGTCTGTGGTACGTGAAGGCTCCACTGTGGTGGGAAAGCTTGGTGGCCCACTTAGTGACTGTCTAGTCCCTTTTTTGTGTGAAGGGGGATATAGAGCAGTTTGACACCAAATTCTTGGTATGGGCAGAGACCTTGCTGAAGACCAATACTTTGGCTTGGCTTGGCTTGGTTTGTAAGGGCTGGAGTGAAAATGATCTGAAAGTGAGGAAAGTCTCATCCAAAGAGCCTCAGGGGCATCTGCCATGGCTTTTCACAGAATGCAAAGCTGTCTACCCCCTTTGTGCTCTCTGTAGTTTCTCACTTTGCCTGGTCCCTTTGTGGATGCTAAAAGGGGTGGTGCGGGAGTCTTGCTTTACTAAATAGCAAAATACTTGAGAATAAAAACAAATAAATAAATACAGTTTTGCTAATGGCCCTTATTCATCATTTCCTAAGATGCCACTGTATCCATATGACCCTAAACAGTCCCTAGGAAGCTGTATACCTTGGCCCATTAGAGATGCACAGCAGCCCCTCTGGGAAAGCTCCCTGGACTCCTCTCCTGTGCATTGGAACTGCATCCATACTGTTACACTCAGCCCTGCCTTGGACTGCCAATTTGGGGCCCTACATGTCTCAATTGTGTGCTAATGTGATATTATGATTGCAGGCTTATAACCACAAAAACTCAGGCAAGGATCAGCCAGAAGCTTTCACTTTGTGGCATTCCACAGATGCAGTAATTGCTGCGCCTGGCTTTCTGGTTAAATGTCTAGCTTAATCTATTACTGTTTGTCTCTGAAAACATACAGGATGCTCAGTGTGGCTGTGTTAATGCTCCTATAAGGAACCATAACATCTGTATTTATTCACTGTTCTGTGATCGTAATTGCTCAGGTTTAATGTTGTGTTAATATAGTTTCCAGCATTGAGTAGGGAACAACTCTGCTATTATTAGTAGTAGTATTGTTGCTGAGTGTCTTATCTGGTACTGTCATGACAGATCAGCCCAAAAGAATGATTGGCTTTTATACTTGTGTAGTGGGAGAAGCCAAATCTGCACATTTAAACACAGATGAACTTTGGGTCCAGATCTGGAGATGAATCGAGTTGCTTGAGCTCATATCTACTCTAAGGATCAGCTCTATTGTTGTTCTTGGTTTGGTGGAGCTCTTTTGAAGCTGATGGTCTTCTGTGGATCTGGCTCCTTTTCCAATTTAATCTCCTCTCTCTAGGTGATGAGCACTAATCATTTGAGTACCTTGGCTCTCACAGAAGTGCAATATTTCTTTAATTTTCTCCAAATTAATCAGACCCTGTTGGCTCAACATACCCAATCTGGAGATCGCATAAGAATAGCTCTTTTCAGGGGATTCCTGCTACTTCATGTTTCCAGTTAGAATGAAAACACTTTCCCTGCTGGAAAAAAAAGCCTCTTTTGATTTTCCAGGTATTTCCAGAACAGCCTCCTTGGCATCAGGCTCAATGATTGTCATAGCAGATGAAGACTGTAGGTACTGCGGTGCAACACCATTGGGTTATTTACTGACTAGCTCTCTGAATCAGTTTGTGACTACTTTGGGGGATTTTATATTTTTCATTCTGTATTATGTCCATTTCAATACTTTTCCCCATTCGCTGCTTTATGAGATTGACTCCTTAGAGGCCTGTCATGAAATGGTCTCTCTCTGCTTTCACTGCTGACATATTACTCTTTTCCATTCTCAGTCCCCTACGTGCTGAGGAGCTGTGCGGAGTTCATTGAAACTCACGGCATTGTGGATGGGATCTACCGGCTCTCTGGCATAACATCCAACATTCAGAAGCTGAGGTAAGGGCAGATTGCCAGACATGAGAGAGACTTAGTGGTACTGCTGTGTATCATTTTCTGGGACTTGTCCAGGCATTATGTTGAATCTTGTCCCTTGGTGGATAGTAAGGGCAGCAGGGCCAAGCTTTGGTACAAAGGAGTCCTGGATTACAGGCAACCTTGGTTCCTAAGGCTGGTAAAGCCCAAAACCAACACATCTTGTGTCCCAGGAGAAGCATTCCCATCTAAATCCATTAATGGAGAAGCCTGGGCATATCCAGCTCTTGACATAGAGATACCCGCTCTTGCTCTGAGGAGGGCAAAATCCCTGTATGTCAGTTTTGTGGCCCAGCAGCAGAGTTGTGTGAGGGAAGCCAGAAACCGAATGAGACTTGGAAACTGAGCCCAGGACATGTTCTGGTAGAGACTGCAGGTAACACAAGGGCAGATATGTGCTCTCCAGCTTCTCCTGTTTGTTTCCCTCTACCTGTGACAGCCAACCAGGTATGGACTACTGCCAGTCCTATTCTTCCACTCTGTTATGTCTCGGTCTGTGTTGTTTCAGGCAGGAATTTGTTTCTGACCAATGCCCAGACCTCACAAGGGAAGTTTATCTCCAAGATATTCACTGTGTGGGGTCACTCTGCAAGCTGTACTTCAGGGAGCTGCCCAACCCCCTCCTCACTTATGAACTCTACAAGAAATTCACGGTGAGCCTTTTTTGTCCCTTCACAGCTCAATGCATGGACTTGGTGTGTTAAAAATTTTCCAGTGATGGCTCTTTTTGTGTTTCAGTCTCCTGATGGCTCTGTTTCTGGTGTGTGTGTATGTGTTTGTCTATACATATGTACATACATACATACATAAGTCTATACAGGCTGTATCTACACAAGACACTGACTGTGCAGTTGTTACTGTGCAGTCATTTAGCACTTGCATACCCAAGTACTAAATGATTGTGCAGTATCTGGTGTTGCTGCATGTGCAGTAGCATCTCCATATGGCTTTTTGGTGATGCTGACTGTGCAGTAGGTCATTACTGCTGTGCAGCAGTGTCACATCATGGTTTGTGCCACATGATGCTACTGTGCAGTAGTAACGAGCTACTGTACAGTAAGACTGTTGTGTAGATGTGGCCACATACATACATACACACATATACACCCCCCCAATATATGTGTGTGTGTATGTGTGTGTGTATATATATATATATAAAACGAGCCATCCACATTCCCTCTCACTTTGTCTATTGCTTTCTTTTTTTTCTGTTTCTTTCCCTCTGTCCTTTCCCTCTTTCCCATACTTATAACTTCCTTTCTCTTTGTTGTACACTTCACGTTTTCTGCTCTGTCTCCCCCTCGCCTTTTATTTCTCTCATTTATTTTTCTTTCTCCTTTTGGATTTGAAGTGGCAGTTCAGTTTGGAAGTGACAATTCTGGAGACTCTGTGGGCCAATAATTGCCTCTGAATGCAGAGGACTGCACTTGCTGGCACAGGAAGCTCCATCTAGTTGGATGCTCCTATCTCTCAATATCTCCTTTCCTCCATTACTCCTTCATTTTGTGTTTTTTTTTTTCTCCCATGTCTTTTCTTTGCTTACAATCTTTGTGAATGCCAGTGGATAATAATTCTAATCAGGGAGGCCCAGATTCCTTGTTCTCTGCACCTTGTGAAGTCATTTGCACCAGTGAGTGCATGGTGAGTGCAAAGCAGCTGTCTTTCTGGAGCAGTGGTACTTTTCACCCAGTTTGTACTGGCACAAATGAGGGTAGAAGGTCCAAGGGAACAGAGAATCAAGGCCAGAGTGATCACATCATGAATCTAAGGAAGATGGCACCTGTTTAAGCAGAAATCTCTAACCACATTTAAAGAGACTCAAAATTCAAAGTGTAGTAACTCCATTCTGCCAACTGACTGTGGATTACTGAGGATACAGTTGGGGTCTGGGAGCAGAAAAATAGACCATGAACCCTGTAGCTGAGCTTCTTTTCATCAGTGTTGAGGACCATGGTTGGAGCTTTATATGGGATGCATGAGTTGATGACTAAAAATATTTTATTACATGCAGCACAAGTACTGACTCCTAGCTAAGGTAGCCTGACACTTTCCACGATAACATCTGGTTTTGGTTGCCAATCACTTGTTCAAACTTTAACCAACACTTTGAAGTGAAATTTTCCGTGCCAGGGATCTGCCTTAGGCTGAAGTTTTGGTTTCAAATGTGATAAAGTTTGACAAAGTTATAGGAAACCAAAACAGGGGCTCATAATGGGAAGGTAGTGTTGAACAACCTTAATTATAGGTGTTGCTACCTGTACTGTCAAATGATGTGCACATATGGTTTCAAAAATACTTTGCTGTCCTTTGAGATGAAGGGCACTGTGGGAAAATTCTTCAGTGTGGACACACTTATATTTGGAGCCCTTGCAGGAGGGGAATCTTTCAAGAGGGCAGCAGCTGCTATGGTGTAATTGTTTTGAGTGAATAAACTGAGAATGATTCAAATATAGCAAAACCATTCCAACTTTAAGTTCCCCATGGGGTTGTGTAGCCGCAACTCTGGTTGACATCAGTGGCAGAGGTGAGTCCAAAGCACCTTTAAAAATTGGTCTCTCGATCTTAAATTAGGACTACAACATCAAGATGCTCAAAGTTAGTGAGAATGTAAAAAAAAAAAAAGATATGAGGTATTTTTTGATTATTATTTATTGAATAGTGCCTCTGTGAGCAGCAAGTGGCAGGCATCATTGTGTTTGCCAATGCTGACTGATAGACGAATGCTGAGGAGGGGGAATAACAAGTAGATCTTCATGACATTTTTAAGTTTGCTGAGAAATGCAGGCTTGGGGTGACTGAAATTGTTTTGCAAATTTGGGTCAAATTTGATGAATAGATTTGGCCAAAAGATAAAAGGTCAAAAAGTCCAAATCTTTCACAATGTCTAAATGAAATGTTTCGGCTTTTCATTCTGAATGCCACCTTCATTTTGAAATGGATCTAAATTTGATTTCAGCAAGAGAAAAGAAAAGGGGTTAAAGACCACCCCCCAAACTAAATGAACTGTTTCATTTGGGGTTGAATCAATGGCTTCAGCTGATCCAAAATAAGTACTTTATTCACTTCACCAGAATATCTGAAATATTTTCCCTTTGAGTGAACCTAACTTGAACTTTTTTCTGACTTTTGGTTCAGCCATTGCACCGAATTATACTGACAGGTCAAGAGAAAACCCCTCAGAAAGGGAATCTGATTGAATCTGCGATAGGTGGACAGCTCTGCAAAGACAGCAGGGTGCTGTTTGGAGCCAAGGATGTGTGTTAATCTCATCCTGTCTGACTCAGTGCTGTCTTGGACAGGGTATGGGCACAGTTTTGAGTCACCACTGTGATTCAGACATTAGTGGCCTAAGAAAAGCATGTTTTTAATCATGAGGGAAGGGTTAGCCTTTTTGCCCCAGCTATGTCAAGCTTATGTATATAATATCCCAGACAACCTTGTTGGATGTTTATGGATGTTTACTCATGCAGAGCAATGCTCCCCAATTTCCTATATATTCCAGCTGGTAATGGATATCTGTCTGCTCTGAGCTTGACACTGGTAGGTTCACAAACACTAATACAAAGATTACTCCATCAAAACATATTGACAATGGAAGGCCTCATGTCCTCCCCCGCCTCCAGCTCTACTCCACAAGCTGGCCGGGACCTAGGGTGAATATCCTCCAAACTGAAAACTTGCAGCACAGTCAGTTGTGTAAACAGGTGACAGATCATAAGTGCCCTTGACTGTGCATCTGAACTCTCCTGTCTCCAGACTGATCTCTCCCTGTTTACAAGGTGAAACTTCCAACTTCAGAAATTAATGCTACCTTTAAAAACAATTTAACAAACAGCTGTTAGTTTGGTCCTTCAGTCTGGTATCCTGCAATTCTTGATATTTGTGCTTAGTCCTATGTCCTGAAGATATTCCCCAATTTTATGTACTATACAAGGGGTTTCTAGCTCAGATGGATTAGCAGCACAGCTTGTGGTTCTGAGCAGGTCATTGCCTCCCTTGTGTCACCAGTCATTTGCTGCCTGCCTCAACTCTTCTCCCCGGAAGCCTGCAACTACATGTGCAAGCTAAAATCTGTGCTTATTTACAGCTCTGTAACACAGCTGATGTCTAGCATTTCAGATACATGCACAGAAGTCTAGATGCTTCTGCCCCTCTATCTCTGGTCAGTACCATTGGCCAGCAAATCTCACAGGGAGAATGTGCTTTCTCATTCCTCCTCTTTCTAGGATGATGGGAGTAGGGGTTTTTAAATATATTTTTAATAATACTTCAGCATTCCCAGTGAGGGCTTCAAACAAAAGAAAAACTGAATAGATTTTGGGATGGGTTCACAGTGTTCAAAATTCCAGAAGTGGAGTTTCCCTAGATTTCCAGGTTTAAGATCTGGGCTTTCATTTTAGTCCAAAGCAGAAGTGGTGCCTGATGAAGCCCAGATGCATACCTCCTCAAATTCACAGAAGTCAGACCTGGTCGCCTCCTTTTTCTGGTGCTGAACTTTGTGAAGGTCAAACAATGCAGCAGTAGAAAGGTCAGCCTAACCTCTTCAAATGGCAAAAATAGCTCTAGCCTTGCTTTGAATGAAGGGCACAACTGGATCATTTTTACTCTAAATAACTCACTAGTGTCAGCCTCCATTAAGTGTTTTGAAGTTGCTGGCAAGTGCAGTGTTGGTAAATACATATTCCTTATCACTGTGAACTTCTTTCCTAGGGAGATGTGTGATTCAGGCTATTTAAATTTGGTGGCACATACATGCAGTGTTGCAGAAGCTGATGGTCTGGGGTCAGTGATTGCAGTGGTGCTCCTGTCAGTGACTTTATTGGTCTGTTGTCAATGAAGTGAGAGGTCTGGCAGTGGATACCATTATCTGGCATGGTCATGGTGATGTTGAAAGTGTCTGTGTGCCTGCAGTTGTGTGCTGGCAACAGATTCCAGCTGTCTAGTTCATCACTGGGTTCACAACACTGGGGCAGCAGGGGCATGTTCAGATCCATTGGTGAAGTTCATTTCTGGCAGCAGTATTGGTGATGCTGGTCTGCATGTGATTTTTGCATAAAGAACAGCTTGGAAGGAAAAGAGTGGTGACTGGAGTTATGATAACAGAATAATTATTTTGGATCTAGCAATGACTGTGAATAGACAGGAAGATGCTTTTCTGGTTGTGGTTGATGATTTCAGGTTAGTAATACTTAGGCAGTTGATGACTAGGGATGGGTAGTTTCCTTCCTCTGGGTTGCAGCACTACTAATGTCCTCATGTAGACAAAGTTTCCATCAGCAGCGTGGGCTACATGTGTCTGTCACTGAACTCGCATCCAGCAGCAGCGGCAGTGTGGGCAGGCAGATCTGAGACAGTGGTGCATTGTTTGCATCTTGTGGTTAGTTTTCTCCAGTTGCACTGCTGAAAGGGAATAGCTGACAGACAAATAACAAAGTGGCGATGAACTCCCAGAAATTCAGACAGGAGTTTCTCACAAACTTGCTCAGTTCCTGCTTATTAAAGTCTTTTCTAAGGAGAAAGTGCATAACCTGCATCCTGAGTAAGCAAATCAAATCCCTAATTTGTTAATTAATTTATTAAGCAATGTATACACTCATATCTCTGAGGCACCTACCATCATAGAATTAATTCTTCCATCCCACAACACTATACAAGCTGTGGTATCTACAGATGAAAGTTAACAATAATATTGCTCATTTTGATTTATATATTGCAATAATTTTCATCTCCTAAATCCAAATTGTTTTCATTTCACAGAGCTGGAAAGGGACCTATCTTATTTTTCAAAATTGTTTGCATTTTTAAAACAAATATATGTGTATATTCATTTGCTCTTTCCTTTCCTCTTCCTGTTTTTACCCCAATCATTTTGGAAATAAAAACAAGAAACACTAAAACAAAAATGAATTTTTTAAAATGTCTGGTGGAAAATAAAAGGGAATAGTCCAAAAGGCAAGAAAGGAAATGGTTCTCCTAATTAAAGAGCTCAAAGTGTTTAATGAACTAAGTCCTCATCTTTCAACCCTGGACTTGCGGGCAAGACCATACAGCGAGGCAAGAAAATACTGTTATTCTGGTAAGAAGGTGAAATTCCCACTGAGTTGGGAATGGAAGTCCTGAGAGGTAAATGAGACAGGGCTACTTCTGATAACTACTCATCTTCTGTAAATGCATCTCTTTTTGTCACTTTTCTGCTCCTGCTGAACTCATTACCTCAGCCAAATATTGTCTTGTCCTGCTACTTCTGATCCCCCATGGACTGTGGCAGTCCGCCACCTGAATAAGGGCAGCTGATATCACTACCTCTCTACTCTGGGGCTGAGGCCAGAGCAGAGGAGCACTGGGACACTGATCAGGCATCTCATGTCCTCTTGAGCTAGAAGAAGAACAGACTTAAACAGCCTGCAGGACTCCAGGCTGGCTTGGGATGGGTGATGGCTTGTATTGCACTGGTTGTTACTTCTCTTTAATTGACTAATGTGTTTCTCTGAGGAAAAGGAGAGAAAGAGAAGCGTGCATTGGTTTTGGGGACAGTAATGGCCTGCCTTGGGAGAGAAAGGTATGGGCTTGGGAGGGATTTCCCTGGATATGAGGCAGGGGAGTGGAAGGGAGTAGACATGGGAGGGAACATGGAAAAGAGGGGGAAAATGTTGTTTTCTTTTATGGAAGTAGTGACTGTAGTTGGGAAGTGAGGTTGGGTTGGCCAAGGGGAATGCTTGCCTAGGTCAGAGGCCAGGGACCAGAGAGGGTGGGCAGGGCAGGGCAGATTGCTTTTGAATTTTTTGGGACAACTTTTTGGATACTTATTTTAATATTTCATTTTTTTTATAAGTTTCATAGATTCATAGATCGTTAGGGGCTGGGAGGGACCTTGTAGATCATGGGGTCCAGTCCCCCTGCACTAGGCAAGAAAAGCCAACTGGGGTCAAGTGACCCCAGCAAGGTGACTGTCCAGTCTCCTTTTGAAGATTTCCAGGGTAGGTGACTGCACTACCTCTGTGGGGAGTTTATTCCACAGTCTGGACACCCAACAAAACAACACAGTTTGTTTGTCTTTTATCGCAAGTTTCTCTGAGCCTTTTTTGGGAAAAGTGGCACATGAATCAAATAAAAAAATAAATGAACAAATAATTTATTCCTCCCCAGGAGGCAGTATCACGCTTCCCAGAAGACCAGCAACTGGCCCAAATCCAAAATGTCATCCAGGAGCTCCCATCATCACACTACAGGTAAGAGTTCAGCCTCTGGGGTTGTAAGGGAGTTATTCTTAGCTGGTGAATACAGGACCCTGGAGTTCCTTGAAATCCTCGAGGTGCCACACAATGTTAGCTCCCTTTGGTGTGCAAACATGACTCACAAGTGAAACCCAGAGGTCTGAAATAGCTGCACTGACTTTTTACTACCCCACCTAGCTGGTTTTCCATTTACACAAACTGCAGCCATAGAGGGATGAAATCAGGATCTTCTGCACAAAAACGTAGGCTTGAGCCGGACTGGAATTCTGTTAGCTATTCTTAATTAACAAGTTGCTACATCCTCCACTGGTAACTGGAGACATGGTCACATGCAGAAGGGCTGAAGCCCTTTTTCTTTCTCCAAACCCTTGCAGGACACTGGAATACCTGATCAAGCACCTGACTCACCTGGCTTCCTTCAGCAACATGACCAACATGCACACCAGAAACCTGGCGCTAGTGTGGGCTCCTAATCTCCTCAGGTACTAGAGGACTTTTTTCCACTTCCCTCCCAGGGCCCTTCTGTAATGGTGGAGGAGCACTTGCAGGCAGACTCTCAGACTGGTTCCTCTAATGCAGCAAAACTAAATCATGGAGCAAAGTAAAGACCATTTTAAAAAATCACTCTAGTTAAACAATCTGAGGATTTACTCCTGAGCTTCCAGCAGAGGGAAATTGTTGGTTTTTAAACAGTGCCTTATTTGTAAGTTGACAGAGTTCATTTCAAAGTAAGGAGTTTATTCACCATTATGGAACAGAGGCAACTTTTTAGGAATGTTACTGCTTGAGTGGGATGGGATAGAGCTGAGACAGAGATTGTAGCTAGGGAATAGGGGATGCTAGGGCAGTGAGGTGAAGCAGAGTATTGAAGACTTTAATCCAAATCTGCTTTGGTCACAAGTGAAACGAGGCTGAGGGCTGGAAGATAGCAGCTTGGGGACCATTGCCAGGATCACAAGACTACCAAGCAGTTTTTTGTCCTCTGTATGGTAAACTCTGCGAACCGTCCCAGAAATGTAACTACAAGAGTTTGTGCAGGTGGACTGCAGGGTGGGTCACATCAGGACAAAAAAAATGTTCTGGGGGAAAAATGATGAAATACTTAATCTATTTTTATTTTGTTGAAACTTGAATTTTCTGGCACTTTTATTTGAGAACAAAATGCTGGAAGACCTGTGTGGAGAGTCCAGGACTAGATTAGCTGAGGGTACTGCAGGGAAGGTTTAAAGGGCACTGGCGGAGCTGTTTAGGGAGCCCAGAACTGGAATAATAGGGGAAAATGCATGTGCCTGTAGGTCTGGTGTGAGCTGCATTGGCAAAGACGGGTAGATGTCTAAGAATACAAGCAGTTCCTTGAATAACTAACTCATTCTTAAATTGCAAGCAGGGCAGAAACTGTCCTGTGAGTGGATCAAATGTCGAACCTATTGAGCATCACAGACTGGGCATTTAGCACTCAGACATTTCCATTCCAGCTACTGTCCTTCTTGTCAAACAACTTGAAGTCTGTTTCCTTTTGCAATCGATTGTAAGTGCAAATCCCAAGGAGGGTAAGAAAGAGGCAGGCAATGGAACTACAGTCTCCTTACATGGTTATCCTCTTGGCAAGGCATCAAGCTGTTATCTAATACACCAGTCATTAACTTTACAAAGGGTCCATTGCCCAGAGGTAATTTCTTCAGTAACACTTTGACATGTCAAGATAAGAAATGCTTCTCTGCTGAAAGAGAGGAGAGAAGGTAAGAGTGCAGGAGGGGGAGCAAGGGGAGGGATATAGAGGCAGGCATAAAAAATTTAGCATGAAAAAGGAGAGCTGAAGCCAACTCATGAGGTTCAGACAGAATCTCCCCTCAAATTTGATCTGGTGGTTTTGGTTCAAATCCATCTTATGGAGCTAAGTTCAAACCACAAAGCTCCCATCTGGGTCTTGAGAGTTTGAAAGGATTCTGCTATCCAGTGCTGTGGTCCGGGTCCATCTCTAACAGAAAAGGGACAATGAGAAGGTGAAAAGAGAAGGACATGTAGATGGAAACAAGAGGGGAAAAAAACTTTCTGTGGAAGGAAACCAGGTGAAACTAAAAAGTGGAGTTTAGAAAACAGCCCAGAGGGGGAATGAAAAGGTAGAGATGATGGATGAAACATGGAGGGAATAAAGAAGGAATGGAAAGGTAAAGGAGGAATGAAAGGAATGGAAAGATCCTGTAAGAGAAAAGGTGCAGGAGACACAGCAACAGACGGTAAAAAATTCTCATTCAAGCCACAGAAGGAAAGGGCACTACACAATTCACATTAGAGGAAAGCTAAAACAATCATGAGATATAGTGTCTTACTGTATTTATGGTTGCTTCTCCCACCCTGTGGTTTAGATCAAAGGAAATTGAAGCTATAGGCTGCAATGGGGATGCGGCCTTCCTGGAAGTGCGAGTCCAGCAGCTGGTGATCGAGTTCATCCTGAACCATGTGGATCAGATCTTTAACAACATAAAAGCCAGCTCCATGGAGAATGATGGTAACTACTTCCGCTGCTGCATGCATGAAGCACCAGACCTCCACACCTCTTTCTACCAGTCCCTTACCACTGTAGCTTCTTATCAACTCTCCTTAGTTTACCCTAAGCCTCCTTACCTGTACCCCACCTCCACTAACCATAATACCTCTCACTGACATTACTGACACCCCCAGCTGAAACATGAATCCTTCCCACAGATGCTCCTAGACCTGTCAATATCCTTCTCACCAGTACCCTTCCTTACCTCTTGCCTTTTTTCTGGACTCCCAACAATATTTTTATTTTCCCCCACTTCTATATTTACCTATAAGGGATAACCATATTGCCTAAAGACCCAGTATAAGCCAGGCTCCCCATCCACAGCTGTCCCATATGCCTCGAACCTGATGCGCAGGGGCCCCATTCTTTGAACTCACTTGCCTGTGGCTCCAGTGAGCCCTCTTGACTGAGCTGCAGCCACCTCAGTTCTTCTGGTGCTAGTGCAGTTCCCATGTGCTTGTTTTCCCTTGGAAGAAAATGAGGGCCACAGAGTGAAGGATTCTATATTTGGGTTATTTCCAATGGTCACAAACACCATGATGGAAGGACTGGCTTGCCTACAGCACTGCTGGTGCTTTTGACTTCCAGATCCCCCACTCAGAACTGGCCTGCTCCAAGTCTCCCATCCAGAACTGACCTGAGTGAATGAACAGTGTGGACCTCTAACAGGGGTCTGGAGGCCTGTGGAAAACACATTGAGGGTTTCAGCCCTGATCTAAGTGGAGAAGTTTCCATATCACAGATCCCACCAACACTGGGATTAATTGTCTGCCTTGATGGTGGTAGCTTCAGGACCGTAGAGGCTGGGCTGGAAGGGACCTTAGAAAGTCACCTCCAGTCCAATCCCCTGCTCAAACCAGGATTGTCCCTGACTAAACCATCCCAGCTGAGTGCTTGTCTAACTAGCCCCTAAAAATTTCCCAGGATGGAGATTCCACAAACTGTATCGGTATCCTGCTTAACCACCCTCATACTGAGAAAGTTTTTCTTAATTTCCAGCCTAAATGTCTCTGGTAGCATCATTGCTCCTAGTCTGACTTCAAATTGGACAAGGTCCATTTAGGGCAAGGCTGAGACCTACAGATAAAGCAATGTGTGGGAAGCTACATGTAGACAGAGACTTCCTGGCTTCGGGACCATCAACTGGGGACCCTCCACACACGCTAAGATTTCATTGTGAAGGCAAAAAAATAATGTCAGTTTTCAAAACAGGCCTCCCTTGAAACAACTAAGGTGGAAGACAGGTAGTAGAGAGAAGGACCAGCCACAAAGTCCAGCCCTGGGTTCAGTCTTCCCTGATGTATGGGGGAACAAGGGTCCAAGCAGGTCAAAGGGGTACATCTTTTGCTGTGAGGCAGCTCTGATAAAAGAATCAACTCAGGGTAATAGAGAGCTTAGCTGGTAACTGAACCCTGCTGGGAGGCACTGTGTTATGATTGAGAGGGATCCTAAGACAGAGGTCCTGTTGGGCAAGTACATCTCTGTGCAAGTGTTTTATGCCCTGCCCGAAATGTCCTAGCTGAGAGCCCTAGCTCAGGTCTGACCTCCTGGGGCTGAAATTTCCCTTTTCCTTTTTCAGAGAGCATGCCAGTGGTGAAGAGTCTTACCCTCCCCTCAGCCTCCTTGCCCATGAAACTGGTGAGCCTTGAAGAAGCTCAGGCCCGGAGTCTGTCAGCTTCCCACCCTGCCCGGAAGGAGAGAAGAGAGAACAGCTTGCCTGAGATTGTCCCGGTTACTGGATCCTTTTTCCATACTGTCGTTGACTTACCCGACAGCAAGTAAGTATCCAAAGCAGGCTAAAAAATAAAAATGCCACCTGAGAGACAGACAGGCAGAACACCCGTATCTTCTGATAAAGTGTGACAGAGTCCAAGAGGGAGAATCTGGGTATAGTGATCCCCTCCACCCACCCAGTAAAGAAAATGCAACCATCCTAGAGGGAGGAGGTTGTATTTCCTACCCTTAGGAGGGGAAAAAATTGCTCTTTGTGAGTGTTTCTGAGTGTGATGTTACAGCCACACTGGGCTTTGGGCTCTCACCCCACCTCAGACCAAAAACATGCGAGCCTGTGCAGGAAGGATTGATTGTCTTTTTATGCTCAGGGGCCACTTTGAATTTGGCTGCGTTGGGTTGACTGGCTAACAGGTCTTAAAACATCTGTTGCAGGAGCTCCACCTGCTGGTAGCTGCCTAGTGCATGACAGTCTATTCTCATCAGCCACTGGTCCTGTCTCTGCCGAGCAGGGCCTTGAGGGGAAATTTCACTTTTGCTGTATGATTAAGTGATTTTTCACAAGAGGGCACCAGTGCTGTGAGCAAAAGAGCCTGACCACAAGCTAATTTTGTTGGAGCTGTCGGCACTGCTACCTACCTAACCTAATAATGCATACCAACAGCACTTCCTGACACAGATTACAGCTTCTACAGCATAAACTCATTTTTCTAGTAATCCATGAAAACTCTTAGCAGAGTTGTTTCTATAAATTTACTATATAGTGGAACAGATCCAGCTCCCAGAATACTGGGGAGCATGGTAGAGACAGCTTACTCCCAGGAAAACACAAAAGGGGGTTGCTTGTATCTAACATCTGGCGGCATCTCTTTTTCTCTATACTGTGGCAACAATGAGCTTTGCTCTGATCTCCAGGGGTCTTTTGAAGGGGACACTCTGTCTCTCTAATGTCCTCTTCTGAGTATCAGATTGATAGAGAAGACAAATTGCTGAGGCAGAGAGATGCATGGAGCAAGAGTTGGTTGATGCAGGATGAACAGAGAGAGACTAGCAGGGAGGCAAAGACAAACATCTACACTATAATCAAGGAAAACATGCTACAGAGGTGGTGGGTTCTACAGTTTCAGGCTGGGATTTTTCAAGGGAAGTAAGGGAATTAATGCTCAGCTCTTATTGAGGGTCACAGGGATTAAGGAGACCAGTTCCTCTGGGCCCCTTTAAAAATCTCTTCCTCTTGGCCTATGTCATATATGCCTGGCCCATCCCAGAAGTCAAAAGAGACAGAGAACTAAAGAAGGGCAGAGGCTGAGAGGA